AGCTTGCAAAGGGAGGGCGGACCACAGAACGAGAAGAACTGAAGAGTTTTGAGGGGCTGCCAAGCTGCTGTCTCAACCCGCGGAGATGTTGGGACAGGAGCTCCCAGGATGGACCCCTGGTCTAGGCAGCCACACCTGAGAGCCCCTTGTTTCTCTTTGCAGTCAAGGCCACCATGCCCATCTGGGTGGTCCTCCTCTCCCGGATCATCATGAAAGAGAAGCAGAGCACAAAGGTAACCCAGGAGGATTCTCTGGGCAGGTGGGGACTCTAAGGGCTTCCAGGAAGTTGCCCAGCTGGTGACGTGGTCCAGGCTCCTGACCTGCAGGCTGCCAGGCTTCCTGTCAAATAAGGAAGTCAGTTTAGATACCTTTGGTGGCCCTTTTGCTGCTAATTTAATTAAGTCACCCTGGTGTGACTTTAGCAGTGGTGGTTTCCCTGAGTTGTCTCTCCTGCGTGGTCTCATGGACACTGCCCTCTCTCTGGTTCCACTTTCCTCCCAGTTTTGAATACCTACCTGGAGTATCTGGTAGACCGATGACTTGGGCCCATCTTGGCCAGGCACCCATTCCCCTCCAGTGGGACCGAGGACGACTTTGTGCTGGAATGGAGTTTCACTTCTTTGTAAGAGACAGCATGGTCAGTTTGGAGGTTTCTAGAGTCAGAAGTGAGATGCTAGTCAAAGGAGACTGATTTGGGCAAAATTCATCAAAGTCTTCTAAATAAAAGCAGCCAAGAATTGGAAATGTTTTAGAATGGAAGTTAAAATGACAGAATCCAGGGCTGCATAAGGAATATGCTTTGGGAACAATCCAGGGTCTGTTTAATTTGCCAAGCCAGGGTATTTCCTGACTTGGGGTGAGAGAAGCTGTGGCTTTAGCCTGAGACAGCCTTGCTATGTCCTCAAGTGGAAGTAGAACTGTTGTCCCAGCTGGAATCCATTTCATGCTGGACAGAGCGCCTCTTTTCTACATGGTTGGTTTCTGACATCCTTTATTTTATATAACTAAGAGCAGCAGTGCCTTGGATCAACTTATAGAAATTGGGCCACCTCCAGGTGATTTTTTATTCAGCCTATCTTTTTCCCTGTAAGACCTGGGTGTGTTCTGCCTGCTCCCAGGGTAATGTCAGATGTGACTTGTCGCTGCATCACTCGATATCACAGCATGTTTATCAGGTTTCCCCGTTGTACAGGACATTGGACCTGGCTTGAGCAAGGAGCCGGAAACTTCACACAGTGAGGAAACAGTAGGGAATGACTTGGACAGGAGCCTGATAATGATAGAATAAGTATAGATCCACCCTGTGAGGAAGATAAAGCAGGTCATTCTTGATCTCAGGGAAGGAAATGGGACTTGTAAGGGGAGAGTCACATGCCTAAGGGCCATAGCCAGTAGTGGGGAAGCTGGAATTTAGAGCCCTCGCTCTGCCCTGGGGTGGGTTGGGGAGAGGGGATTGCTCACCTCCCCAATACTAAAATCTTCTAAAATCTCCACAGTTCTTTAAGAAAGTCCTTTGTAGGAGAGAGATGAGCTGGGAGTCAGAAGAGCTAAATGTCAGGAATCGATTTTCCTTTCTCTGGAAGTTGGGAGCCATTTAGCCAGCAGAGTGCTCAGAAGCCATTCCCTGTACCAGGCCCTGGAAAGCTTGGACCTTGAGGAAAGCCTCCTATCCCAGCACATACCTGCTGTGTGCTGGGCACTAGGATAGAGCAGTGAACAAGGACCCACCCTAAAGGAGTGCAGAGACACAGATGAAGTAACAGACACTTGTAACGGGTGGAGATCTCTGTGCCTAGGAACCTGACTGGGGGGGTGGCGTGCAGGAAGATGGGTGGGAAAAGTTCTCATGAATAGTATATAAACTGAAGCCTGAAGAGGAAGTAGCTCTCCAGCTAGAGAAGGCATTGTGGGAGTGTTCCAGCCAGTGGTAAATGCATGTTGGAAAAGGGACCCTGCCAGTCTCCTGGAGGATTGAGGTTTCAGACCCTAGTGTGTTGGTGGTGACAGCTAGATAGATCTGTTAGGTGCAATCCCAGTTTTTGGCCCTGAGCAAGGGCTGTTAATGGGGGTGATAGTATAAGGAGTGGGGCTGCCCACAGTAACATAGCCCCAGGTACTATGATAACCATCTGCCTTCCCCCAACCTCCAAAGCATCGCTGTCACAGCTAATACTGTTGTCCAAGCCAATACTGTTGTCCAAAGGGATAGGTGATGTCCCTCTGGTGAGGGAGGAAAGAGCAGCTGAGGCTTTCCCCTGGGTGTCTATGTTGAGCAGCCCAGCTCAACTCTGGTCCATCAGCCCTTCCTGCCTTCCTCCCATAGGTGTACTTGTCACTCATCCCCATCATCAGCGGCGTCCTGCTGGCCACTGTCACCGAGTTGTCGTTTGACATGTGGGGGCTCATCAGTGCTCTTGCTGCCACGCTGTGCTTCTCGCTTCAGAATATTTTCTCCAAAAAGGTATTTAGGCACCATCTGTGGTACACTTGGTGTTTTGGGGGTGCACGGGTTGTATTAGAAAAAGTGGCCAAGTAGGGATTTCTTTGGTGTTAGAGCAAAGAAAAGCATGTTGTCCTGCTGGTTTTCTGTTGTTTAACTTTTCAAAAGAGAGTATGTTGTTGTTATTTACGTACTTACTTATTTATTTTCAAATGCACGCAAAGGTTTATTTAGAAAGTCACAGAAGTAGAAAAAGTGAGCCAGCTGGGCTGCATGGGCTCAGGAAACAAGTTCAGAGGCAAAAGAAAGGCCCTTGGAGCTGAGGAGAGAGCAAAGGTACTTGCCTTGAGGGAAGAAGAGGGTGGAAAGGTGGGGGCGTGCTCTAGAGAGAAAGAACAAAAGAGTGAGCGAGAGAGAGCGCATTTGTTCCAAGAGATTATGTTTTTTATTATACAATTAGCATATGCTCAATATGAAAAAAATCAGGATTGAGTACCTACTATGTGCCAGGCACTGTAGTGGGTGCTAGAGATGAAGAATCAGACCTGCCTCCCTGCCCAGGGTTTCTACCCTATTGAGTGAACTATTAATGCTAGGGGTATTTTCTGCACAGTTTTTAGAGTTGTAATATTATAGATACATTTTAGATAGTTGTAATATTATAGATACATTGCTTTGTTCATTTACTATTATAACATTGCATTCTCCCATATCATTAAAAAGTGTTGCTCTTAACTCGTGTAACAAGCACACTCTTTTCAGGTACCGCAGTTAATGCAGTTAGTTCTTCTGCTGCAAATGCGGGTTATTTCCAATTATTCATTGTAAGTAACACAGTAAGTTACAGTGTTTTTGTCTCAGGTTTTTTATGACTGGCTTACATAAGGATATAATAATTATATAAAGATAATAATAAGGGTCAGAAGATATGTTTATGGCTCTTTATATACTTTACCTGGTAGTGTTCTGAAACAGAAGTATACCAGTTTACTCGGATTTCAGAGGGCCTATTTCACTGCAGCTTCACCAGCACTGAGGCATTGAGTGTTGCTGGTGTGTTTTTTTTGTTTGTTTTTCTTTTCTCAAAACATTGTATTTGTTTCAGGCATGAGTTGCGTGTCTCAGCTACACTTGCAGGTTTGGCAGCCAAGGTCTGATGTCAGAATTAACGTACAGTTGCTGTGTTTAGATCCTGAGTAACTAGAGTCCTTGCCACTTACAGTGTCAATTGGCCTATAATGAGATTTTCTCTCTTCAGGTATTGAGAGACTCACGGATCCACCATCTGAGGCTACTGAACATCTTGGGCTGCCATGCCATCTTCTTCATGATCCCCACATGGGTCCTGGTGGACCTCTCGGCTTTCCTGGTCAGCAGTGACCTGGTGAGTTGGCCAGCACCGAGAACACACTTTTTTCTTGACTGGTTCCAAAGTAGGTTCTTTGTCAGGGAGTTACTACACCTCTGTGTTGACTTTGGGGCCACTGGGGCCTCCAACAGCCTGGTCTTTGAATACTCAGCTCTTTGTCATGACTGATGTTGTATGCAGTTGAGGAAGTCGGCTTCCTTTGCATTTCCTTCTCCAGCATGCTAGATCCCAGCTGCTGATAGCAGTCGAATTTGCACCAGTGGCATGAAAGAAGAAAAAAACAGCATGGGGAACTTTCCTGTCCTGATAACCTGGTTCAGATCTCACTCTGACTTTAAAACTGTGCTCGATTCCTTTCTTGGTGTCATTTCTATACATATTTTCGTGTCCTCCAGTTGTAGCTGTAGTTCTCTGAGCACAGGAAATAGTGTCTTCCTACCTCCCGTGCCAAGCTAGCCTCCAGAGAGTGTGCTAGAAACTAATGCAGCTGGCAGTGATGAGGAGGTGTGCGTGGTTCTTCCAGGCCTGAGTTAGGGGGAAGGGGTAAATGTTTATTAGGGCTTAATGAGATCTGACTGGACTCTTGACATTAGTCTTTAATCCTTAGCACCACCTGTGGATGTAGTGGAGTTTATCTCCAGTTATCAGAGAAGAAAACTGGCTCTGTGTTCTAACTTCCCTTCCACATTGCTTAGCTGTGACTTTTCTGTGAATAATTTTCATCATCAACCAGGACTAGTCTGTTACCTTGAAGTACAGTGCACAAGAGGCAGTGCAATGCTTCTCTTCCTTTTTAGTGACCATCTTCAGAGTAAAGAGTTAGAGCTGACTGCAAATAAACCAATGAGGTTTATTTTTCCTTTTCGGGGGGTGGAGGAGGGTTCTCTTATGTTTTTTACTGTCGTTACAAAGTTGTGTTAGTTGTATTATTATTTTCACATTCAAATTAAACTGTCTTGACCGATGGAGTCTGTGCTGTTGGCTCCCTGCCCTTCTGACAGCACATGTCAGCCTTTGGTGACTTTTGGTCCAGCAGGATTTCCTCCTTAATCTGTATAACTCCAGTGTCAGACCTGCCATCAATCCCTCCTTGGGGAACCCAGGTTGCTTTTAGTGGAGAGTGGTGTTTAGAAATGCAATGTGAGTGCCATGTGTGCTCACTGCTGTTGGGCTATCACTGCTTTTAAGCCTTTGCAATGAAACACTTAGGAAAGAAGTATTTAGGGGCAGAAAGGTGAGTTCATTCCAATTCTTTCCAATTCCCATTTAACATCACAGAATTTAGTACTGCTTTGATTTTTTATTAATATCTTCTGGATCATTTGGTTCCTTGCAACATTTCCTTCTCCAGTTATTCACATACATGACCCTACTATACACACATATAATTGCTTCAGAGTGAGAATCCCTGGGGAGAACTGCGGGTCAAGCAATGAGAAGGTTTAAGATTCTGTGCAGCTTTACTTGTCCTTAGAACATGTTCTATTAAAAATGTACAGCAGGTCCTTCATTAATGTCATTTTGTTATAGCATTGGTGAGATGCTGTAGGAACTTAACTCTTGTTTGTATCACTTAGCCTCTGGTAAAGCTGGTTTCGTTAATATGTCCTTTCGCGTAAAGTCTCAGAACCTGTCGACGACATTGAGGACTTACTAAACAATTGAAATACTGTGTTCTAAGGGTCTCCCTCTCCCCCACCGGGGATCAAGCCTGCAATCCGGGCATGTGACCTGACCAGGAATCAAACTGGTGACCTCTTGGTTCATGGGTTGATGCCCAACCTCTGAGCCATACCGCCTGGGCTTGGGTGGATCCTTCATACACTCAGGGGCTACCTTCCCAGGACCTCCCTGTCTTATAGAATGCATCATGTCTGCTAATGGTCTGTATGTTTGTGTCCCCCAAAATTCACATGTTGAAACTCAACCACCAATGTGATGGTGTTAGAAGGTGGGGCCTTTGGGAGGTGATTATATCATGAGGGTGATGGAGCCCTCCTCAGTGGGATCAGTGCCCTAAAGGGACCCCAGAGAGCATCCTCACCTCTTCCACCACTTGAGGACACCACAAGAAAACACCAAGAAGCCCACACCAGACACGGAATCTCCTTGATCTTGGACTTCCAGCCTCCAGAGCTAAGAAATGTCTGTTGTTTGTAAGCCCCCAGCCAGTGGTGTCTGTTACAAGAGCCCAATCGGACTGAGACCATGTCCAGTAAGCAGACCTCACTGTGTTAACCCCAGAGCCCTGGCCTTCACTGTCCATGAACGAGGGAAGTTTTTGGTTCACCCCATGCTCTGTACCCTTTGGACACCTGATGTCCCTCTCTGAGACTCCACTTTCTTGGCAGAAGGGGAAGGTGGTGATGACGATGGTGGTAATGATGATGGTGGGTATGATGGTGGTGGTGGTGGTAGTGATGGCTCTGATGACAATGACAGTAGTGGTTGATGATGGTGGTGACTGATGATGGTGACATTGAAGACAGTGAAGGTGGTGATGATGGTAGTGACTTGTGCCATGCAGAATGTTGTGAGGGTTAGAGGCTGTGTGTATAAAGCACCTGGTATCACAACAGAACCCACCTGGGTCTGCTCCCCACCAACTGACCCCCAATAAGCCACTCTGTACCCCTCCCCCAATCTCTGCCAGGGCAGGCATGTGACCATGGTGCTGTCTTGCTCCCATCTGTAGACCTATGTGTCCCAGTGGCCCTGGACGCTCCTGCTTCTGGCTGTCAGTGGCTTCTGTAACTTTGCCCAGAACGTCATTGCCTTCAGCATCCTCAACCTCATCAGCCCTCTGAGCTACTCAGTCGCCAACGCCACCAAGAGAATAATGGTCATCACAGTGTCCCTGATCATGTTGCGGAACCCGGTCACCAGCACCAACGTCCTGGGTATGATGACGGCTATCCTGGGGGTCTTCCTGTACAACAAGGTGAGTCTGGGGTGGAGGAGGCTGTCTGACCCCTTGACACCAAGGGAGGCACCAAGAGTTGGTGGAGGGGGAAAAAGAAGTGGCCTCACCAGAACCTAAGAGGCCACCACCCAGCTTTGCCAAACTGATTTATGGTCCTGGCGCAGCCCCTCCTGTCCTGGCCTGCCTTTTCCCACATGGGTGACCCCAGCCCTTGCCTTACTCCAGCCATGGCTTGGGTCTGCTGAGGCTTTGTCAGGCTCCTGTAGGCTCTGTTTAGACCTCTGAAAGGACATAAGGTGGCTAACAGGGAGGGCCAGTCCATTAACCATTCACTGGCCATGTCCAGCCCTGCTTGGGTTGACACCTTGCATTGGCCTTGAAGGGCTGCTTGACAGTAAATCTTGAACTGCCCTTTGCCTTGTGCATGTGTCCTGGGGAAGGAGCCAAGTGTCCCACTGCTCTCTTAACCCTGCAGACCAAGTATGATGCAAATCAGCAAGCACAGAAGCACCTCCTCCCCATCACGACAGGGGATCTGAGCAGCAAGGAGCACCACCGGAGCCCCCTGAAGAAGCCCCACAACGGTGTCCTCTTCCCCCAGCATGGGGACTATCAGTATGGCCGCAACAACACCTTAACAGACCACTTCCAGTACAGCCGGCAGAGCTACCCAAACTCATACAGTTTGAACCGCTATGATGTGTAGAGCCTAGAGGATAGGGTGGGTCGTTCTGCAGCTTCCCCCAAACCCACCCATCCCCAGCACTACCAGAAACTTCTGACAACCAGTGAATGTAAGCCCAGCTGAGGGTATGGTGCACAACTATCAGAAGACCCTGGGGTTCCCAGCCTCCCAGGGCAGCAGGATGCCCTCCCTGCAATGAGGACCACCACCCTTGAGCTCTGGTGTTCCATGCCCTTTCTTCCTGGAGTTTGTCATCTGAGGGCAGTGGCACTATGAAGATCTTGGCCGGGTGTTACCTTTCTGTGTAGACTTAATCCCCAAGTCATGTATTTCACAGTTCTTGTTCTGCTTCTCAGATAGCATTTCCAGATAATCCTCTGGAAAGGCGGAATCGTTGTGGATATAGACCCTGGAATGGGCAAGGAGATGGACTCAGTTTCCCCGTCAGCCCATGGCTATTTGCAATTGCTGGCAAACGCTCTCAAATGAACAGCCATTGTGTTTAGCATTGAATTCTTGGAGGCTGATTCTTTAACCTACAAGTCAGAGTTGTGTGTTGGGATCCAGAGGAAACAGCAGAGCAGGGCATTGCTCCTCTTAAAGCGGTAAGGAGGAGGAGACTGCGGGGCTGGGAGAAGGATCACTAGGAAATCATGCTAAGTGTTTAAAGCTCTGTTTCTGACTCTTTTGTCTCTTCTGGTGGGTCTTCACTGCTGTGACGGCTTAGCAGGATGTCTGGGAGATGTTGATTTCATGACGATCTCTCATTTTTGTGGGAATGTTTTGGAGTTGTATTTACGTCTTGGTCCCCAGAAGGGGATGCATAAGGACTGGCTTATTGATTGAAAACCCTTTTGCTTTTAAATGTTTAAAAACTAGAAAAGTTCCCCTGCTGATGCCTGTCTGATACATATCAGCATTTGGTAGGAAACGGTGTTGAGAAGCACCTTTCAAATGACCACAATGGCTGAAAACAGAATGAATCAAGAATATTATCTGGATGGTTTGTGTGACAGACAAGAGCACAGTGCTTTGATTCTATGGCCTATTCTTTTGGTGCTTACATTGGGATCTGAATCATGTCCTGGTGAAGGGGGGAAGAGGCGAGCACCAAGCTAGGATCTGGTTTGTCAAATCAGATGCTTTGGTCAAGAAAAAGTTGTTTTAAAAAAAGAAAATATAGGAAAAGTTAGTTTTGGCAGGTTCACACGATAACCTGTGCGCCAAGGTCCAGGTGGGGGTTTCTGTCTTTCCTGGCATCAGGAAAGGCTGTATCCTCCCTCCTGGAAGGGATCACTGACTGGGCTGGTGGGGCCTATGGCGATGGCTGCTTTTCCTTTAGCACCGTCCCCAACAGATGGGACAGGAGTCATCCTTTTCCTCCTGGTGAGACATTTTTGCCACTCAGAGAGTAAATGATGTAGCTTATGCTTGACTCTTGGTTTGTTTTTGATAATTGGAATTTTGTATTGAAGAGGTTTCTTTTTGTCAGCTCCCACTGGGCCACTTTTAGAGGGGTCTCGGATGCCTTCTGGCCTGTAAGTTTATGAACCACCAGCCTCAGGAGTCCCTGTTTGTTGTCTGTTGTTTGCTTGCTTTCTAATTACTTTGGCCCCAAGTTTCTAGATGATTGCTATGTGAAATCTGAAAAGGGGCAATCCTGAAGGGTGTAATTGGTGATGAGCTTGCTGAGTGCCTTCACCAGAAGCAGTCAAGTCTACAGTTGAGTTTTTCTCAAATCTTTGTAACAAATGTGGATAATTTTACACTGCAAAGATATTGTGGTGGTTGTCTTTATGATTAGAGTAACTGACTCCTTGAACATATAATTGAACTCCAAAATGAATTAGGCCTCCATTCAGGTTTAATGAAATTTCCAGTATTGCTGAAATTTGCGTATGTTTCTTTTCCTTTCCAATGCAAAATCTGCTGGTGAGGGGAAATGACTGGTTTTATTAAGGTTTATAAATTAATAAATGGGATATTTAATTATTTACATAAATTTACAGTAAGTACATACACTGGAATGAGTGAGACAATCATATTAGACCAAATCATCAAATCAAGACAAAGACATACTTTTGAGACTTGACAGTTCAGAGCTGACTGATCCCTTGAAGGCTGGTTTTCTAGCCACTTATTGCCCTGGTCTGCTACCCTCCTCCTGCCTCCCACGTTCACATTTGCAGCTGTTCCCCTCACACTCCTCACCTTTGGGGTTTGTGGTAACGAGTTCAGTTTACCCACTTGTGGTGTGGTCTGGCCTGCAACACTAACCCAACTCCTTCATTTTACAGAAGGGGAAACTGAGGCTCAGAGGGCATTTTTAAATAGTGTTTTGATCACTGTATTGAGACTTCATGTAGAATTTTTAAACACTGTATTTTAAGTCATTCATTGTAGGGAAAATCGAATTCCTATTACAAAGGAGAGAAGCCAGAATATGTTCCGGTAAAGCAGCACTGGGATTTCTGAATTTTGCTGTGTATTTGGCATACATAGTGCAATAGGCCCTTTATTATTGCTGGGACGTAACCAGACCTGATTTGTTAAGGGTCAAACAGCCTTAAGGGCAGAGAATGTTAAATTATTAAAGGATCTGAAAATTGTGAATTCTTTTTTTTAAATCGTCACCTATTTTCAAGACAAATGCTGTAGACTGTTCCGTGGGAATGATACTGTATATTCTTTGATGGCATTTACCAAAAATAAATGGTCTCCAGGGAATTGAGACTGGTCCCAGTTTGTCAGTGAGTGACCGTCTTGTGTGCCCAGCAACAAGAGACAAGAGGTAGAAAGAGCAACCTATCTGGTTCTCATATCCAAGAGTATTGCAAACCTTATTTTTCCCGAACCAAATTTAGGACCTGTGATTTGTGAATTTATGAGATAGTAGAATAAAACTATAGAAATCACAGCTGATCAGTTAATTACATGCCTTTACTAAACAGAGTAACGTAAAACCCAAGAACGTTGTGGCAGCTTGTGCTTATGGAGCATATTTCGGAGGCGTAATGCCTACTAAATGCCCAATGCAGTGGTGGGTTTTCACACACAATTCTCATACTCCCTTTGCATTGTTTATTACTTTATAGGTGAAAATGAGGCCCAAAGGGGTTAAGTCACTTGTTTGGGATCACCCAGCTACTTAAGTCGGCCTCCAGAGCCCAGTTCCCCCGATGTGACTTGGAAATCATTCCCACCAATGGCAGGTGAAGTTGACTGAGCAAAAGAGTCAGGCTTTGGCTAGAAATAAATGACAGAAATCTGTAGGGTCCTAGGATTTGCAAATCGGAAACACAACTAAGCACTATCCAGAATGCTTACAGTAAAAAAAAACAGTTCTTACAGTAAAAAGTACATTCTTGAATCAGTCCTGCATTCTGAGCTCATGGACTGGTGTGATGGTAATCTAGAAGTCCTGTGGTCTGGCTAGTGGATGTAAATTCCTTCCTAAGTCCTACAGAGGGTTACCTATCCAGGCATTGACACACAAATGAAGAGTTCAGAAGTGTAAGTCCTGCCCTGGCAGGTGTGGCTCAGTTGGTTAAACTTCATCCCATGCACCAAGAGGTCTCAGGTTCGATTCCCTGTCAGGGCACATGCCCAGGTTGTGGGCTTGATCCCTGGTGGGGGGTGTGTGCATGCAAGAGGCAGCTGATCAATGTTTTGCTCTCACATCAATGTTTCTCTCCCTTTCTCTCTCTAAAATCAATAAAAGTATATTTTTTCAAAAAGTTTAAGTCCTCACCTAGTTGAAGCAAGACTAGAACTGTTTCCTCATGCCTCAGCCTATTTGGTCTTAGTAATTTAGCAGCCTGACTATACTGACTCATTTTATTCCTCCACCCTTTCCTAGAAGGGTATGTTTCTGTTAAAACTGCCCACATCTTTTTAATTCATAAACATTTTGTTGTGATTTACTGAGCATTTACTTTGATCCAAGTACAGAAAGCTGAGATATATAAGCCTCCTACCCTCAGAGCACTCAGCTTAATTTATACATATGTAACTAAGTAGCACGCAGGTGTTATGTTGGAGATACATGAAAAAGTGCTATGGAACCCGCAGGGTAATTATTTGAGGGGCATACAGGAATGTTTTAACTTGCACTTACAATTCACAAAGTATTTTTTGCACATTTTGTATTCATGCTTAATTTAACCATTAGAACCCAAGTGGGATATATTAGCCTCATCTTACACAGGGAAATAGAAACAGGAAGTTGGCTTGGCCCATGGAGCAGGCCTGGAACCCAGGAGTGTCTGACTCTAAGCCAAGAGCCCTCTGCCTAGCAGAGCAGCCACAATAGTGAGCTTTTGTTTTTCTTTACTTTAGTCATACACCCCTAAGAGGAGTCGGTGCAATCAAAAGTATATCCTGTCGTTTCACTTGCCTGGACCACACTGCTTCAGTTACCCTGAAGGAGCCCTCATGTGTGGATGATCCAAGAGGCTTTGCAGTCTGCCACTGCAATTCCAGCAGGACTTTGAGCAGCTCTGACCTGAGATGGGGTCACTGTCTTACAATTAAGGGCCAGGTTTAGTGATGGCCCCATTTTTCAGAGAAGAGAGTCTGAACAGCTACTCAGGAATGTTTTCTCCCAGGGACTGTAATACCTGTTGGTCTCAGAGCAACTCCCATGTGACCAGAGGTTTGCTTGATAACATGATCAGGCCCAAGGAATGCTCCAGGCTCCCGCACAAGACAGGACCATCTCTGTTCCCACATCATTTCTCCCACTGTGGCTTCAGCTAGTTGACCACATGGGGTTCAGTTACTATGGGAAACGAGGTAACAGCCACACCAAGCTCTGGCTTTATTGAGACTATAGGTCTGGATATGAGTCTGGATTTCTTGTCACCCCCTAAGTTTTAAGTAAATTATTATCTATATGTGTTTAAGTTTGAACAAAATTGTTAAAGCTACAATGTCAAAAAGAATAAGAAAGCCCGGCCAGTGTGACTCCGTGGTTGAGCGCCAACCTATGAACCAAGAGGTTACCAGTTTGATTCCCAGTCATGGCACATGCCTAGGTTGCAGGCTCAATCCCCAGAAGGGGCCATGCAGGAGGCAGCTGATCGCTGTTTCTCTATCCCTCTCCCTTCTTCTCTCTCTAAAACCAATAAAAACATTTTTTTTTAAATGAGAAAGATGTATAGAGGGAACAATTTCCAAACTGTATGGAGATACATAAACATGTTTGTGAATAGTTTATCTCTTAAGATACAGAAGAAACTGAACAGAACAGTTGTATCTACGGAGCGGGAGGATTTACACATTTTTAAAAAACTGGTAATATTATACATATTATTTTGTAATATGCTTTTTAAAAATATGCCAGAGCCCTAGCTGTTTTGGCTCAGTGGTTAGAGCCTCAGCTGGTAGACTGAAGGGTCCCGGGTTCAATTCCAGCCAGGGACATGTGCCTCAGTTGCAGGCTCCATCCCTGGCCCTGGTCTGGGCGTGTGCAGGAGGCAACCAATCAGTGTGACACATCGGTGTCTCTCTCTCTCTGTCTACTGCCCCCCAAAAAAGCCATGAGAAATACTTTCTTGGGTGAGGATAAAAAATAAAAAAAAAAGATTAAAAATATGCCAGAAGCATTTCCCTGTTATTAAATATATATTTTTAAAATCCTCACTCGAGGGTATTTTTTCCATTGCTTTTCAGAGTAGAAAGAAAAATACTTATGTAAGAGAGACACATTGACTGGTTGCCTCCTGCACATGCCCTGACGGGCCAGGGATGGAGACCACACTGAGGTACGTGCCCTTAACTGGAATCAAACCTGAGACCCTTCAGTCCTCAGGCTGATGCTCTAACCACTGAGCCAAACTGGCTAGGGCTAAACATTATCTCTTGATTTGTGTGTCTACGTACATGGTGTTGTAGTGTTTCATTATAGGGATGTGTTACAATTAAGCCCTGGGATAAGTCTGCAGTGCACAATATAGCATACACTTCTGATATGGGATATTCTTCACTGCACATTTGCAGGACCAAAGTGGGCATGCAAGTGGTTTTAAACTTCTTTCCATTCTGCTGCTTAGGTAGGTCTCTTCAGCAAGTTCTCACCCAGAGGTGTGCAGTTTGTTTACTTAAGTCTTGCTTCCAAATTCTTAGAAACCATCTCTGCAGCAGCCTCTACCTCTAATAACTCTACTGCTTTCTTCTAACCAGTGGAGTCTGACTGGTCCACTGAAATGAGCCTAGGTGATGCCCTGTGATGCTTAAATTTTCAGTCTCAGATAAATGCATTTTAAGCAATATGAAAAGAATTATGAAAGTTGTGGTCGTGGGTGTACAATTTTTCTGGGAGGCAACCGAGCAATTATCAGTATTACATGTGCATACCCTTAGATTAAGCACAAGATCTATATATATACTAAGGCACTTTTAATAGTGGTCTAAAAATGGAACCAACCAAAGAGATTCCATAGTCTGGCTTCAATAAATTACCATAAATCCACACCACAGAGTCATATGGAGTTATTAAAAAATGACAATACAGATTCATCAACCTGTTTTGGCTCACAGATCCTGTTATTCTGCTAAATACTGTGTATCTTCAATTCACAAAAATTCATATATGCATGATACTGTGTTATTTCTGAAGTCTATCCATGGTGGATCACAAGTTAAAACATCTTGATAAAGACCTTTACTGACATGGAAAAATGCCCACACTATCCAGATTACTAAGCATCAAACTAAACAGAAAAATCCCACAATGTGAACTTCTGCCCGGAGTGTTCACATGGCTAGCTCCTGACTGGGATCTGGTTACTAGATAACCTTATCAGTGTAGGCCTGCCCTCCTCCCTTGTCAAGGTCTCAGTACCATGTTGTTTTCCTTAGTAACAACTCTGTCGTAAGTTTCTTGATTTATGGGTCTCTGCTGTCCCTCCCTATAGACTGTGGGCTCCTGAGAGCAAAGCTTAGGTCTGACTTGTCCATCCATAAGCCACATCCAGCCCCCATTTTTGTGAACCAAAACTGGTCTTTACAGGTGAACATTTGCAATCAACTGATGACAGGAAAGACTAACCTGGAACCTCAAAAAGCATTCCATTCTTATTAATAGACCTGTTTTTTAAAAACTGATTACATTTTGAATTCCACCAATAAAAATGCTATGGACATTTCTCTTGGGTTATGAAAGTACCTACAAAGGCCCTGGCTGGGTAGCTCAGTTAGAGCGTTGTTCTGATAAGCCAAGGTTGTAGCTTCAATCCCTGGTGAGGGCACATAAAAGAAACCACCAATGGATGCATAAATTCGTGGAACACAGTGATGTTTCTCTCTCTCAAATCAATAAATTTTTAAAAAACTAAAACAAAAAAGAAAGTGCCTACATAGTATCAATTTTGCCTCTTAGCCCACAGAGCCTAAAATATTTGCTATCTGGACCTTTACAGGAGTTTGTTGACCCGTCCTAAAGCAATATCTGGCATATAGGACGCAATCCCAAAATGTCAAAAGGAGAAATTTATAACAATGAAAAAGTGTACTTAAAATACCTGTACATCAATTTGCACAGGAAAAAACGGCCAACCTCATTTGCTACTTCTTGTTATCTTTCCCCACAATTAGCATGCATTAATTTCATCCTGAGGATGAAAAAGGGGCCACATAATAAACCTGTCAAGTTCAGGGGAGGCCTGCACAGCAGACCTTACAGAGACAAAATAACCTCATAGGATGGTCTGAACATAAAAATTCCT